GCTGTTTTTTGTCCATATCTTCGGGCGGAGCTACGTCACGCCGATCGAAGAGCCGGTGAAAAAAGTAATCCTGAACAACCCAATTTATATATGTTGCTTATGCAGGGGTAATCTTGTTACACTGTTCAGGAGAGTCTCAACAATCATCCCAAAGTACCGTTTTCTGAAAGTTTTAGGCCTTTGTTTTCATCGTGATGGTTGCCAGGCCCGAGAATAAGAACACATTACAACTGAGGACGCACTTCAATAACCGTCGAACACACAAAGCAAGTAAACCCGAAAACACTGATATTAAAAACTTTAAAAAAAACTTTCATGTTAAAATTCTTTGTTGCTTCAACTTCTGTTATCCATCTATTTATTTTGACTAACAAAGAAAATAAAAGATGATGCTACCCCAGAAATTAATTCGCAAACTGAAGAAAATAAAAGTGTGCCCTACATTCGTCATCCGATGGAGGGACCCTAAGAAATGGTGTATCCCAGCAAAGACACTTTTCTAGTGTCTAGTTCGTCATGTACTGGGTATATGGCTTCGTGGATATTCGTGATCACATTCGGCATACCTCGGAAAGAATCCGGTATACTTCGTGACAGTCCAGATTGCCATGCCGACAACTTACCATTGACGCTATAAGTTGGCGACCTCTACACCGATCTGTCGCATGTCGCGCAAAAAGTGTCGGGAGGTTATTCGAAACTACATCCGTAGTGTTGAAGCCAATGTTAAAACAGGAAAGTATGCGGGAAAATTGAATTTCTAACATTAGATTTAACTTGTATTAGCGGCAGCTGCTATGAACATTTAATTATAACTAATGAATGAATATTTGAATCACTAAACAATATTCCATGAATATTCGAGATGGTTCGGGCACATGTACATCCAATAAATATAATACCGGTAGTAAATAAAATACAAGCACGTCCTCCCAAAACGTTGTGGATTACATTCGCTTCGACGTACTTCTGGAAACCTCGCGAAAACAAGCGGAGTGTACGCGGAGTGGAGTTTGTTCCACCTCGTTAACATCAAGTGTGGTTAACGTGTTCGCCTTCCATCAGGATGAGTTGTATTAGATTCCCCTGCCCAACTGCTTAATCAGTATCATAAAACAGAGTACAGACTGCCGTGTGCCCGCCTTCCAAAAAACGCGGTAGTACAGGCGGACCGGTTCGCATGTAGACGAACTTGCAATTAGCAGCAAAACAAACAAAAACGTCACCGTCAGGAGTGGAATAATAAAGAAATGGCTGCTCCCATTAGCTGTTTGATTCATTCCTAACTATCAAGATCACATTTAGTTATCATCACGTGATGAACACGCATTTAACTACCCAGTATCCAAAATGATAACCCGAAATTTTGCACTGTGCAATCATGATGTTTTTCACGTAAACGGATCTAAAGTTCAGTTGACCCGAGCCTTATCAACCGTGACTTCCCGCCCCTTAACACACACAAGTGTTGTGTGATTTGTGTCACTCCTGATGTCACCATGACTTTAATCTGGCATAATGTCGCGATGACGGAACAGATCATGAAATTGTTATTCACATTTTACATTTTTTGCAAAGTTGGAACAAATAACCAACACTAGCTGGATACTACGATCGAGTCAGTTAAAGTGCGGGTCATCGCATTCGGAAAATTGAATACAGATTTCAAATTTCATTCAGTGGCAGTTACACTAATCCTAATCTGAGTGGAGATTTGTCGCGTTATCGCCTATCCCGATTATAGGCTAGGTTCGGATTACGTGCATTGACAGCTGGACAACGAACCAACGCCGGTTCTGGCAACTGAATGTACGTCGGTATTTGTTATACCGCCCTCCTGAGGTGAAAACATTTCACTTTGGACTCAAGGGTTCGAAAATTGGTTGGACTTCGATTTACTGGGACCTTTACAAAGGCATGCTACTTGGTTTTCATGGCAACGCATGAATTGGTGAATATAAAAATTGGAACATGTGTTGTCTAACTCATATTACCAATACGGAATGAAGTGTAGCCCAGCAAACCAATTTTCGATACACAGTGACAGATCGCTACTGTCATACAATGTGGTAACTTTCAAGACGAAATATATCATCGCGAGTATTTTTATGGTGCTCTGAAAAAGACTCCAAGATCACGAATACTAACTTTCAATAATAAAATATTAGAATAGATAACCATTACAAGTTATGATTGTAATATAAACGGATATGAAAATTAATTTGCGGGAATGGGTCCCAGAGGACTGTTGTGTTTTGTCATACCACCTCCAATCTGGCCGACAGTTTTGCCAAATAGATCGACTCAAATTAATGATCTGATTATTTATACGAGTTTGGTAACCTGCAGGTGGTCTAGCGACGTTAATGACGATACTGTTGTCAGTTGTCAGCCTCAAGCCCTCAGTGGCCAGTGCACGGCTGATCGACGACAGTACTTCTATACAAAATACTGATAAATCAGTGACATATACCTGCTAAATTACCACACACATATATATTTTCCCCGTGGCGAGCTAGGATGGCGATATGATTTCACTAAGTTTACCCTTCGGGGACGGTGGACGCTCTGAGAGCGCTGTGGACCATTGAGATAGCAGCTGGTCAGAAAACTGCCACGCGACGTATCACTGCCCGTTCTCATGATTTTTCCAAGAAAACCGCAGATATCTACGAGGTCCTTAAACTACTTAAAATGACCGGGTTTTGTTCTTTCGAAATCAACAAATGTGTCTAACAGATTACAAGAAGGTTAGACAGATTCAGGGGCGGATACAGGATTTTTTTTATTGGGGGGGGGGCAAACTTTAAAATCGCTAGACTAAGTTAATATTTTTTTTTTATATTATACAAAAACAAATTGAATACACCCCCCAGATCCGCCACTGAGATTTGTTTCTGTAAACAACGTCGACCAACTCTACGCAGTCACGGTTCAGGCATAAGGATTGACAGCGCCCTCTTCAATCATTTGCTAACCGTCGTTAAAAGGGTCTCATTCACAGTCGCAATGATTGAATGCACTGGTCACACACAATACATGTAAAAATCAAATGTGCGTATCCAAACAATAAATTAATTCCCTGGAACACATGGGCACAATAAGTTGTATTCTGTATAATGTATGTCCGGAGCGAGAACATTCTCGGAAGTAAACTACACTTTTTGTAATCATGTTTCAAATTATTGAGTTATTGTTTATTTGTATTGATTGTTTGTCATCCTTAAATAAATATTTCTAATATGCTGGCACATAATATATACCAGTCGAAATTTATTAATTGATAACCAGTGATGACGTCCGCTTAATGATCAGAATGATAGGTCATTTGGAATTTATTGATAAAAATCCGCGGTTGGCTAAGAAGTTTGGGAACAACCCACGTCATCTGCAGTGGGGTGCAAGGCAATGGATGTCAGGCAAATTAAATTTCATCGGCGCCCTCTAGTGTCAAAATTGAGGAAGTCACTTCCGGGAGTTGTTGACAACTTTTCGCTCTACTCTACGAAGTTAATTGTGTCACCATCCCCTTTGTTCAAACTTTATACCCCGCTGGCTATACTCACATTAAAACGCCTGGAGGGCCCTCGAACCGTAAAACTCCTCTATAATGGAACGGTGTTTTTTCCAAAATTAAAGTAGGTCAGAAAATGCCAAAATGCTGGCTGGATTTTGGAGAAACACGGTGATCTGTCAGATTTATTAATAACCAGGTCATTTGTCATTGTCAAAGCTAATCTGTGTAGTTTAATCTGATTCATATTTACTTCTCCCAAGTTCGGTCAGATCTCTCTCGAGCTTCTAAAAATAGCCAAGCGCCCTAGATATGCCGTGTTTGTTCGTCCTGTTTTTCAAATTTTTTAAGTTGTAAATTACCCCAAGGGTCAAAAGAGATTGGCAGTTTTGATAACCTTCCAATAATCAGTAAGCTAGGGTGGCCCTTATTTAGTGACACTGTCGTGTGTTGTGTTGCATGATCAGTGTGGCTGTGCAAGCACGCACCGCTACCGTTTCTTTTTGATTACCAAATCATGGATATACAATGGTAGATTGTGTATCTATGGTAAGGTCTTAACATTTGAAAAGCACGTCTGTTCGCCGTGTAGCGTCGCCAATTATTCAAGGCCTTTTAGCAACAATACTTCCAGAGCGCCCGTTGTATGTTATGTTACCCCAATGCGGTAAACAACTCCCTTCCATGGCTCGCTTTTCACGTGTTTTACATTAAAGAGGATAGTGTGCATAGAAATGCAAATATAATTTGAGTTGAGTTGAATAGACGTGCCGGTTGAAATAAACGAGCTGCTAGTAGTGAATATGTGCTCGGCTGGAAATCGATGTTAAGATCCATACGACCCCTTTTAATAAAATTGCTCTGTGACAGGCTCGCGCGCTATATCTGCCCGGTCTCATACGACTCGGCGGCCCGCTCACCGGCAGGACCGTGAGAACTAGAAATATCATTAATTTGACTTAATAACTCCCCGTATGTGTTCTATGCCAACTGCACAATCATCTATCTAATTGCGTTGAAGTGACAGAAAAATAAAATTGCGAAAAAAATAATCCCTGGAAGGTCACGTGAATCATTTGCATAAAGCTTGCCTTACATCATGGGGGCGGATACTCCGACACAGTACCTGGCTGTGATTGGTCCATGGATGGTTCGTTCTGACTGACGTTTTCCGGTGTTGGCCTTTGGAAAAAACAGCTGATCGAGGCGATTGCTTCACTCGCTGGCCAGCTGACTGATAGCAAGTGGGTAAACTATATACTGTGAAAAAGACACTGAATGAAAAACAGCTGATTTTTTTCGGAGAAATGAACGAAGTCAAGAGTGAATCGACTACTTTAACTATGAACACTACTAACGCCACGTTTACTGGCGTGAAACTACAGGGTATCGTGCTCGGAACCGTTAGCAGTACAGGCGTACCGAGCTTTGCGATGACGGGAGTCACCGCCGCTTCACTTGTCAGTTCGGCGGCGGCAGCGGCCGCTGCTGCCTCGGGTAACGTCACAAATGCGACACAGGCCGCCAATTACAAGTGGATGGAAAAAAAATCCGTGAACGAAACAACCACTACCAAGCAGAAGAAAGAGCCGCGTATTCGGAGACCCATGAACGCGTTCATGGTATGGGCAAAAGACGAGCGCAAACGACTCGCCGATCAAAACCCCGATCTCCACAATGCCGATCTGAGCAAAATGCTCGGTAAGTTCACCTTCTGTTTTACGATACTTATTGTTGGACCTGTGTAGTGTTTAATTACTTCGCCCCGAAAATAACTTGACCCTGTATCGTTGAGTGGGTTTCACTTAGCTTGGGAAAGCAGTGGTGTTTTTTTTTTCTCTCAGTTCTGACTCGCTACTTATATATCGGCGCCTTGTTGATCGCTCAGCTGATCAGTGCCCGGTACTTTGCGACCCCTGACTGCGGCGGCCTATCTCCCTGTCAACTGATTTATGTAAGCGTCAACCATATTCAACATCCCTCCGTTGTCAAGAAGTACAGTTGAATTTAAATCGCACACTTTTTTTATTTTTTTATTATTAAACAAGCTCAAGTTATTTATTGCGTTAGGATGAATTAAATTAAAATCCATAAGCGCTGCTAGCAACTCGTGAAAAGTGTGTCACAACTGGTCCTGAAATCACGGCTATTTTTATAACGGGAAATCGCCGGATAACACTTTTTTTGTCATTTTCATAGCAACATTTTTCTGATGTGTCACGGCCGGAAAAAAAAAAAAACCTTTGTGACAAAAGATTACAAGGCTGATTTTAATATTTAAAACACATATTTTCATTATTGAGTTGTTTTTTTGTTTTTTTTTGTAATTGGACTGAATCATCGTGAAGTGCGTATCAGAAAATTTGCTTATTCGCACTCATCTCAGCAAAATATTCTTTTATGCCAGTAGAAGGACAAGTTCTTTCGCTTTTTCCTAAACTGCATCGATATGGCACAAACACCCTTTGTCTGCCCAAAAAAGCGTTCTGATTACCAAAAGTCGCCTTTTTTATGCTAATGTGGGATTCGGTATTTTGTGCGTTTTAGCGCTGGTTGAGGTGATTAGCATATTCAATGACTTGTTTTTGACAACCAAGTTGACCTGCTGTTGATCGTGACCGTGACCCCATTCAGTTCGCTCTTCATTTTTCCATCGGCTTATTGTTATGATGAAATACCGGTTTCGGGACTTTTTTTTTCTTTTTATCAACTTCTTTGTGAATATGCTTTTTGGTTACGCTGACTCCTGTGCTCCACCCCAACAAAATGAGCCCTTATTTCATATGCAAAACTCGTGTCTTATGCGCATGTGCCAAGTTGTTTTTCTCTTCGCTCCACTGACAGATCCGTTGTTCTTTTATTTCAACAGGTAAAGCTTGGCGCAATCTCAGTTTGGTCCAGAAAAGACCGTTTGTGGAGGAGGCCGAACGATTGCGCGTGCAACATATGACGGACCACCCGGACTACAAATACCGCCCAAGACGTAGAAACAAGCAACCTAAACGAGTTTGCAAACGCGTGGAACCGGGACGATTTCTGCCATCACTTGGCGACCTGACTGCCCCGGCGAATACCGATCTGGGAGCGACGCCACAGACGCCGTCCACACCGGGAATCCCATCTTCGTCTCCCCCTACGCCGAATGTTAGCTCCCTTCACACTCCAGATGTATCACCGCGTACATCGCCAACTCCTGACCAGAATCGTTTGAAATTAACGATCGGCGGTGAAACTGCTGCAACTTTGAAAACAACCAGTATCCTTTCCAACCTATTTGAGAAAACGACCACGGCAAATACGGCAAATGTCGATCCACTGGCCGCCATGAACTTACCAACACCGGTCATGTCGCCACTCAACACAGTTGAAACGGACAATAACATTTTCACTTTCCCGACAACTTTTGACGAGCTTGCCTGCATGCCGGAGCCGATGACGCTGACGCCACACCAGCAGCAACTTGCGAATACAACAAACATTGCCAACTCTGTTTTTACGACTTACGCCACCACTCACCCTGCAAGCGCTAGTACGAACAGCCTTAGCAGCATGAACGGAACCCAGCACCTGAGTACTCTTCGGGCCTTGGTTGCTAGCCCTCATCCGCTGTCGTCAACTTTGTTCAATAACAGCAGCCTTAACCCTCTTCAAATAACGCCACCAATGCTCCCTGCGTCTACGATCACCGGAAGTATTCCGACAACTCCCATCACCATGGACACGAATGTCAATTTCCCAATAAAAAACGAACCTCTTTCATGTCAAACAAGTCTTCCAGGTGAAATTGACATGACACCCCCTCTCATATCTCCCAGTGACCTTTTGAACAATAATATGGTCAAACAAGAAAATACGTCACTTCAAGACGAAATTACGAACCAGATCATTATGACTGACAATGGAAATATGAACATCTCGCAGACGACCATAGATAGCGTTATCTCCGCTTTTGAGCAGTTCACGGATGCGGAGTTGCTAGGCGACGTTGACCGGGATGAGTTCGATATGTATCTTAATACCCAGCAACCTAACTTTGAAAGCACGTTGATATCGGTGCTGGCTGACGCCAGCGCGTCTATGTACTATATGAACTGAATCCAGTCGAGCTTTTTGTCATGAATGAACTCGTATCCGAGGCTGTGTATATTTACTGCGAGTCCTCTTCCCGAATTGGCGTAGCTTCGATCAACTACCGGGAAAAACATCAACGGTGCAGCTTTATTCGAGCGCCACCACGAAAGACATTATTCAACATATTTACCACTGTTTAGAACCATTGTTTGAAATACGCATGCGCATTTCCAACTTCACTTAATTTTGTCTATATATTTTATTGTTTAACAATTTACACCAAATCGTTTATATTAAAAGTAATTTTTAAAAATTGTTTAAAAAAAAATGCAAGCATGCATGTTGATTTAGCTTCACTGCATACAATTTACAAAGATAGAGGGCCCATATTAGGCAGCGACATTCCATAAAATCATGATTTCCCTGAAACATAGTGCTGCTTCAATAGACACATATTCGTTTTTTCAGTACTTTCAACTATTATAAAGCAACAGTATCTAACATTGTTTGTCAATGGTACAAGTTTGTTGCCAGAATCATTTCATTGTAAATAATTACACTTGAAAATCACATTTTTAAGATTTACTCCGATATTTTGTTAGACGAAGATTGGGTTGGAAACACTTGGCTGCCATCTTGTTAAGTATGTTTGATTATTGACTGTTGATCTCTGCGCACTGCTCTGTGTGCACTGCTCGTGCGCAATAAAAGCTGCGCAGTGTTGCGTTTTAGTCGGAAGAGGTTATGAAGTTCGTGAAAATTTGTTCCAAGTGCAACGAGAAGTGTTTGAGACAATAGGCTCAGTGTATACGTACTTTTTAGTTATTATTACAATATGCCTTGCACTAACGTTCTTTAAAACATAATGACTATTACGAGTATTGTTACGAGTGTGGCCTTAGTAAAACCGAACTCTCGCTCAAAAAAACAATGGTTGTCATGTCAATTTTGGCTGTGACTATACATGGGAAAGAAAAATCAATGACAAGGTCTCGCGCATCGCGAGATATTGCGAGAACGGAAACTTCCTGATACATTCCGCCATTTTGAATTATAACAAATAACGCAACAAATATTTTAGCTTTGGAGAAAACCTATTAGAGAAATATCTTTTCAAGAGTTTATATTGTTTTATATGTGTTTATTAAAAGTGTTTTAAGTGTGAAGAACGGAGAAGAAAAGATTGTTATTTTGATTTTAAAAGAATGTACATGATCGTCTAAAATACGGTGCTGGACACAATAGATTGTTATGCAAAAAAACTTATTAAAGTTATTTTAAATTTGATTTGTGCTCATTTTATCCCATAAGTACATACATCAACTATGCCAATTCACAAAGCATGCCCCATAATGGTCCCAATAGCGAATGAAAACTTCAATCTCCCGTGTACCCATGTATGGTTGTCATTCTTGTTGTTGTTGTTGTTGTTGTTGTTGTTGTTGTTGTTGTTAACGTTATGATTGTCGTTATTCTTGTTCTTGTCGTTGTTTTTGTCGTTGTTCTTGATGTTGCTGTTTTTGTTGTTGTTGTAGCTGTCAACAATCTGTTTATCGATGGAGATCTCGAGTGTTATGGGAGATGTCGGAGAACGGCATCTCATTAATTATGTGCATGAACTATTTCTATTTAAACTGCGAACCATCTTGACGTTCACGTCTGAGATCATCCATAACACTTTAATTGGGGTCATTAGACTCTCTGGTGTGAAATTTAGCAGTATAAATATCCACCCCACCAACACCAATAGTATTTTATATTCTACCGTCTTCGTGCACACTGTTCGAGTGATATTTAAAATAGGGGACGCGATCGGGGCAGAGAATGGAACATTATTTAAAGCGGGGGGGTCGTCACCTGCGCACGCGCGGGAATTGAGTCCCAAGCGACGATTACAACACACGCTAAAAACGCCAAGGCTCGTGGGTAGACGCTTGTTTGTAAAAAATGACACGCTATGGCCATCTGACGCATGTGTAGGTGACGAACCCTCCGCTTTAAACGTACTTGAATCACATTTTTGGTGAGGGTTACGTGAAAAAATGTAGCGAGGGTAACAAGCAAATTGGTAATGTTTATATAAATTCCGTGTTGTAAATTATGTAAATATAAACATCGGCTGTGGTTGTATTGCCCAGCAACAACCGTTTGTTAGAAACAAAATATGTAAAAAAAAAAAACGCACCTAAATGACCCAGAGTAAAATGCCACATGTTTTGCTAATATTGTGTGACCGAAATCTGCGAAAGAGTCGAGCGATGTCCTTTGTTTTATAATACACCAGTGCGGCAAGTCTCTCTGTCGAAGGGCAGTCGTCGGGCAGCATCCTGTTCGCTATGGGACTCGTAGCGGCGTATACAACGCTTATAAAATACATTGTTTATTTACATGAAATTCGAACACTTGCCGCGCGAAGATCACTGCCCTTTAATTAAACGTAGTCCTAGATTCGGACGAACACGAATAGTATGTCGCAAATTAACATACACTCATTGAATTTATTATTACTTTAGTTGTTTTGAACAGCTCGGGACGACTCTTAAAGTCACCGATCGATTTGAAAATTGGAACCCCTGACCCGCAGATCGATATGATACTAGTATATATTGGCAGTTACGTGAGAAACCCGTGTAATAAATAAAATGCGACGATAAACACAGTGCTTGGCCCGTATTTATGATGTTTTGTATTTCTTGGAAATCAGTAATAAAAAAAAACTCATTATGTATATCAGTATAAATATTTCCTGGGTGGAGGAAGTCGCAAATCGTCTTTAATCGTCACACGTTCTGGAACTTTCTGGCGCAAACCTATTGTTGGCAAATAAAGGCAATATTTCCCACAATCGTACCGCAATTATGAAATTCATCTACAGCTTATCGCATTTTTTTAAGAGAATAATTTGAAAATCGGTGTGATATTTATACCTCAGAAAATACCCATATGGATGATCATTATGGGACATGTTTGAGGTCACGACAGCGGAAACTAAATACTAAAAATGTTAAATACAGACGGGTCTGTTCATTTGAAATTCCGACAAATAAACTAATTAAACTATATTCTATGAATTGATTATAGTGCTTTCTAATTCCATTGCACAGTTTATCACACTGTGGAATTCTGAGAGTTGAGTTCTTGTTGAACTTCGAGAGTGGCTTACGTCAACGCATTTAGACGTACACTTAGACAAACCCTAAACTTTACTGGGAAAATCAGATTGCCTCGTGTTCGAAACGATTAGAAGTTTATTGATGGGAATGAACATATTCACGTATAAATGCATGGAATAACACTCCCAATATAATTATAATTCACCCCCAAAATCGTGACAATGTACTTTGTTCAAAAATTGTTATGTGACGTTTTCACTATTCTTAGATGTATGTTAAATACAATTATATGCAAATTAGGCGAAACAATTCAAAACATTGTTCTTCTGATTCAGAGATATTTTTTTATAATACTTATTTTTCAAAGAACCTTTTTTTCTTGCATTGTTATAATAAAAAAATAATCAAGCGGAAAATAGTTATATGTAATTTATATGCAGATTAGCTAATCAATATGCACATTATCATTCATGTATCTACACAGACACACAGCATATACTGTGATTTAATCCACATGAGAGCAAACTGCTAAGATGAAACAAAGCGTGGAAACATTCAATTGGTATGCAAATTAGCTAATTAATATGCATACAATAGCAGAAGCTATTATTAGATTAGTCGTCTCAACAAACGGTGAGCATGTTACTATTATTATTATTGTGCCAAGTTATATTTTTATCCAGCCAGTGGTTCTTGAGGTAGTATTAGTAGAACAAGATTTGGCACACACGCACATACTGGTGGACGGACGGACGGACGGAAAACATACATCGGTGCGATAGTACCCCTAGCCTGGAATTCAGTCATTCCAAATGCCCTTCCCAGTGCACTCAGATTTTTCAAAATCTCACGATTATACACACGAGAGTACAAAACGGAGTATATTGTGTCAATTTTCACCAATGATGTCTAGATTGTTAACAACAACAACAACAACAACAACAACAACAACAACAACAACAACAACAACAACGACAAGAATGACGACAAGCACACATGGGTCCACGGGAGATTGAAGTTTTCATTCGTTATTGGGACTACTAGATTTCGGTTTGTAGTAGGAAAGAGGGTTGATCTAATTGGTGGTTAGTTGGAGGTTATATTGGCGACAAGATGGTCGGGTGGTTTGTCTGATTGGCTGAGGTGGAGGCGTTGGTGCGTAGGTGTAGTTTGGTTTAATGTCGAGTGGGTGGGTTGGTTGGTTAGGGTCGATTTGAATGGTTCTGTGTGACTGTTTGGGTATTTTGGTTGGAAGATAGGGAGATGGACTGGCCTGTGTTAAGTTGAGGTGGTGGGTGTTCGGGTTGTTCGAGTGAATGAGTGCGAGTAGTAAGTGAGTGGGTGAATGAGTGAGTGATTTTTTTTATGGATGATTGGTTGGTAGTTTGGTTGGAAGTTTGATTCGGTGCATGATTGTTTGTTTAGCTGGTTGGTAGGATGGTTTACGTGCTGACTGGTTAGTTGTAGTTGATTTATTGATTAATTGTTGCCCACGTTTTGGGAAAGTCGAATGGTAACTCAAATGTATTCGTCTAATAAAATAATTTAAATGTATGTCGTCTCTCTACATGTAATTGCTCGCGTGAGAGCAAAAAAAAAATAGCAGAGTTCGAAATTCATGTTGAAACACATATAAATGTCTTGCTGAGTGGAAAGCACCCATGATCTGCCCAGGGTCAGTGGTAATCTGCGATCACAGCTGTTCGTAAGGTCATTCAATCGTGTCCAGCTATTTTTAGCAACTGTTGCTAAGTAACTCAATGTTGTCTTCTCCAAGTGGCCATGCCAACCAATCAGCTGTTAGTTAACCCCGGAATCCCTTGTCTCGCTGCCAATGATTTATCGCTGTTCAACCGCAAGCCATGCGCCGGTTAGCTGAAACGCACGTGTACTGACGACTTGTCACTGTTGGTAATTTCGGAGGGGGGGGGGCAAACAATTTTTACACTCTCGTAAAAAATAGTCTTATTATACTTGTTGTTTTGAAATATCATTCCGTGTTTGGCATGTAGCAGTGCCTGGCAGCAGCGTTTATTGGCACGTCCATCCTCTCAGCTGTCAAAGTTGTTTTTCTCACGAAGCCGGGTGTGATGAGATAACTTGGTGTACGTAACGGTTCCTATGTAAGCAATACGTTACTGTTTACATTGATACTGTCGAGCGGTTATCAAACAACTGTGACAGTGATTGAAATAGTCCAGATTTACGATGGACCCCACAAAGGGTAAGGGGAGTGAGGGGTAAATGGGGCTGCCGTACAGTGGCGGATCCAGCAAAAATGTATTGGGGGTTCAAGCTTCGCTAAAATATACGGAGCGTAAATCGCAGAGAAGCTATGCGTAATCCAGATGATATGAATCGCCATGCGTTTGGGGGGGGGGGGGGTATGGCCCCCTAAACCCTTCTTCCCCTCCCCTGGATCCGTCACTGCGTATGTAGAAGATTTCTCCTGGTTTGCGGGGCGACTGTATGAAATCGCAATCGTGTACAACATGATTCATTCACGCGTGTGCCGAGCGTGACAGGAACCGGGCAACTTTTCATATCACATTTTGGACTAAATTACACTACGTCTCAGATCACATACTCCAGGCCTCCTGTTGTTAGTGCATATATTTGTCTTCTCCTGAATATCTCTAGAGGGAGGAGAAACTATTGCCCACGTAATGACTATCACCTTGATTCAACAATGAATGAATGAATGAATGAATGAATGAATGAATGAATGAATGAATGAATGAATGAAAGCATGAATGAATGAAAGCATGAATAAAAGCATGAATGAAAGCATGAATGAATGAATGAACCATTTTCTAAACCACCTGTATCAAATCAAACTCAAATCGTTATCGATCGAAGACAGATAAAATGCTAATTTGTGGTGTAGACCTCATACCACATCAAGCGCGACAGCATGTCTTTTTTTTCGAACCAAAAGGGGGAGATCCGTATTAAGTTCTGTTCTGTTCGTCGGTAAATAGTAGACTTTAAGTTGGCCGTTCTTTGTTTTGCGGACTTTCAGATGTTTAAAAAAACACCTATTGACTCATTCACGTGCACTATGAGCACATCAAGTAGACCGTATGTAACACCACGCGTGGGTGTTGACTGCCCGCGGCCTAAAGTGTTGAACACAATCAGCAAAAGGTTCATTCAGGTTAATAATCTATG